ATAAGCTGTGTAAACCCTACAGTGGTTCAATGTGTCATGCTCTGCTCCACTGAACCTCCGTGTGTTTGTGGGTCCACGTGTGTGTGTGTGTGTGTGTGTGTGTGTGTGCGTGCCTTCTCCCTCTGAAGCTTCATCTGCTTCCAGGCTGTTGGTTATGCTTGACTAATGACACCAGAGCTGTTGTTTTGACCATCAGGTCCCAACCTAATAGTCTCTCTCCCTTCCTCCCTCCATTATTGAACCCATCTATCATCCCCTCTATCACTCTCTCTCTATGGTCACTGTCTCACTGGCCTATTGTCCGTCTCAGCACTGTGTCCTGATGTTCTTCGTCCTGCTGTGTGATGCTGCTTTTATCTGTTCTATGGACAACATTACCTATGTCTTGGCCTTTTTGGAAAAGTGCAAACAAACAAACAAAAAACTCATTGACTACTAAAAACTCAAACTAACCATTTACCAAATGTATTAAGTCATTAAGTCAAACCCAAGAAAAATAAAATGTAATTTTGCCATATTTAAGATGTTTTTGTTGATTATTAGGTAAAACGTCTACAGGTAACTTTTAGTGAAAACAATTTAAGCTAATTACATTAAAAACAAGTCCTGGCAGTGAATGTAGAAACTCAGGAAGCATCCACCCAATGTGTCTAATACGGGAATACCCACACACACACACACACACATGCACAACCACAAAGTGTGATGTCATTTCCAGTGGTCAGTGCAGACTGGTGGGGCAGTGTTTAAAATGTTATTTCACTAAAGGTCACACCACACTTAAAATGTAAATTTTTCCATGTTTCTGTTTCGACTTCTTCTTCCTCCTCTCCTGTCCAATGTGATCTCTCAGGAGTGGGAAAAGGGCCGGAAATGATGATCATGATGATGATGATGGTGATATCTGTTTATGTCTCTCTGAGATAAAGAAACCAGTCAGTTTAAAAAACAACAGCGGATATGGAGCCTCTGCTGCCACCATGACCCCGGCTGTTCCTTTCAGGGTATGTTTTATGGTCAGAGTATTCAAGGCCATGTGATGATAATCAGACACATGAATGTGTGAGAGGTGATTCATAGTCTGTGAGGGGGGAAAACGCATGACTAAAACGCGGGAAAACGCAGGATAAAAAGAGAGATTTGGTGGAAAGATGGACTGGGATAAAAAGAGAGATTTGGTGGAAAGAAATGGCTTTAAAAATGGCTGTAAAGAACTTGTTAAATATACACGAGATTATACACCGGAATATATTAGTTCACTACAATACATGTGAAAAGTTCAAAATTAATTCCAGTTTTTTATTATATTTTTATTTGTTATTTTTGAATCGGCAGTAAAACTGTTTACAGCAGCTGTCATTGATTTGTGGAAGACACTAAAACGTTGTGTGAGTGACCTTATTTAAAACCAACTTCCTGTATGTCTGGACAAAGTTTAAAAACATACCCATACAAATATTTCTCTATCATTGTCATCCTTTTGTATTGTGATGCTTGGTCTAGTTTGTATGTTCGTGGTACATGGAGTATTGAGTACAGTGAAAAAGTAGTTACCATCAAACTGCAGAATTGTAGGACTAGTACAGTGAAAAAGTAGATACCATCAAACTGCAGAATTGTAGGACTTTTTACAGTGAATTTTTGAGGATGTTTTTTTTTTGGTGTGTCTAAATCCGTCTCATATCACTTTTGTGCACAAGCCTGCTACTGAGGCTATGACAGCAAACCTAAAAAACAAGTTGAACCTAACACATTGCAACTTTAAGTCATGTCATCATCAATGGAAGGAATATCTCTTTAGTCTAAAACTCCTTAAATAATATCCTCTGTTCTCTTGTTCCTGCTGCAGCTTCACCTCAGGTCTCTGTTCCACTCCTGTCTCAGGTGGTTTGGCTGTTTCATAGTCTAAAGATAGACATGTCTTCTTCCTCCCTTTCTCCTTGCTCTTCGGTTTTACTGGATGCTGCTCTGTCTTTCTGGAATTTATTAAGAACTGACAGCATTTTATTTTCGTCTTCACTCTTGGCACCTTACTTACACAGCAGCATCAGTGGGGACAAGTGTTTTTATGGTTGGAGGATGGTGCACTGCAGACAGAGACTCCAACCTTTGAACTCCAACCTTTTACACCCAGACCCTAGAGTGACCCGGCAGTCACAGGAGACAGAAGAATGCTGGTCATGAAGACTGGGGCAGAGAGGTCAAGGCCTGTGTTTGGTCATGAGTGATGCGTGTAGCAGTGCAGACTTGGACTCACATGTCAGCTGTAGTTTCAGGGCTAAATGTTATTAAAGCATTGAAGTCACGTGTCCACAATTTCTGCTCTGGCTATACCAACCCTTCACAGCACATGGATGGTCTTCAGCTCTCTCCACTGTGTTGTTACCAGGTCAGGCTTTAGAAGCCTAAAAGCTTGGCCATAGATGGTGATTCACTAGAACCTACAGCTGCAGCGGCAACAACGTCTGCAACTGAGCTGTGTTTTTTAAAGCTGTCTTCATTTTATGCATGCACATTAAACATTAACCACCTGGTCATCTCCTGAGGTTTAATATATACCTTATAACTTGGCAGTGTGTTCTTCTACCTCATCATCTCCCAGTAATGTGTTGTGCATTGAGTCTTCTGCAGCCAACCTTATTATTGGTCATTTTTAGTGCTTATCTAGAACATATCTAGAACTGCCTGACCTTGGGGATGACTGTGGTAAAAATCCTTATTGATCATCCATTTGTAAAATACTTGGATTCAAAAACCATATTCATCTGAGGAGCACAGGCAGGTGGCTGTTAAAACACAGCGGTTGAATCTCCTGCAGTGCACTTCATAGCTTGCTTTGTATAGTTACAAGTGGAACCAACTCAGACATGGCATAGACAATGCAACCGTGTTCAGTTTTCGGCTGTTTCCTTTTCCTGTCTGTGTCCAGACAGTCATGATGTCATGCCATTGCACTCCAAACAAAAACAAGTGCAATTCACCCTTTTAATGGCGGCGTAAATCCCCCAAATTGATTGGCTGACGGCCTCAGGGTTTTGCATTTAGGCCACATAAGTAGGTCTTTTTAAATACGTTTTTCAGGATGAAGGTTCTTATGGACGATTTGCTGTGTTGATAGAGTGGAGTGTTTCAAATCCCATTCTTAAGTCCAAAATATTTTTTTATCCACCAATAACTTCGTTGTTGTCATCAGTAGGTGGCACAGTTAACCCGAAAGACAGCTGGAACTTCCTTGTGGGAAAACCGGGTATTCTGCACATCCTGGCCATTTCCTGTTCCTACTCCCACACATGGATGTAAATTTGAACACACACACACACACACACATAGATTGTTTTTGTTGACATAATTAAGCTCTATCTTTTGCAACACGATGTTCCTGATGTGAATGATATTCATGTTAAGTGCAGGAAATCATCTGTCATCAAAACTGTAATGCACACACACACACACACACACACACACACACATTTGTAGTAGTTCTGGTTTATGGCACCACCTGTGGACACGGATGTTGTAATGTTGGCCTCAGGGAGTGTATTTACCTGCAGTGAGCAGCACATACTGAGACTGTAACAGCCAGAGCACGTGCGCTGCCTGGAATTTGAACTGAAACAAGCAACTCACAATGCTGTGTGTTTGTGTGTGTGTTTGTGTGCTCGCCCATGCCTTCAGCTGACTGATTTTCAACTGTGTTACTATCAAATTCCTGTTTGCTTCACCAAATGCTGGCCTGTTTTATTGCCTTTATTCAACTGCCTGTTTTATCACCTGAGTTTATCGCCTTCTCACAACCAGGCCTGCCGTTTTATAGAATTGCTCCTCGAGTTCTCAGTCACAAAGGCACCAGACAGAAATGCGCCCACGCTGACAGACACAAATGTATTTTACCAGATCAAAAAAATCTGAGGGTCAGAGGTGGTTATGCTGGTCTTGGTGACTGACACCACAGTAAAGATCAGGAGAGAATGAAACCTGCATACTGGCTCACACTGGCCCGGTCACCGCCTCAGAGCTTGGTGCCAACATTGACTTTTTTGACTATGTATTGATTTGGTGTCTTGGTTTGTCATGTTCAACAAGTGTGTGCACTCGCTGACCGGCACTCTCTCCTGATGCACTGCACCATAACCTGCACCACATTTGTGTGTATTCAATCTCCAGGGTGGTTCACGAGAGGTTGTTCAAACAGGTGTTGCACAACACTGTCTTTTGTTTGGAGTAAATACTTTTGGTCTGAAGTGAAAAGTGTGACTCTTTTGGCAGTTCTATTATGTGTGTGTCTGCAGTGTAGTTGGGTTTGTTAATAGTTATATAATAGTTAATTTTGCACCCTTAGATGAATTATTTTACAGCAGTAATTGAGGTGTTTTAGTTACATAATGTAACAGGTGCTGAAACTTAAACTTAGTGACATGAAGATAGATTCACGTGACAAAAAGGAGTTCTTTTTCTTTATTTAACTCTGCTACTTAAAGAAAGTGAAAACATTACACCAACCAGTCACACTGCTTTATCCACCACTTCTCCATACGTCCAGTAGAGGGAGCTGTATCGTCACTTTTGACAAAAGACTTTCAGACGCGTTTCCATCACGGTGAGGCCTTTAACACCTCTGTCTGCTGCTGCTGCTCACAGAGTCACAGATTTTACCTTGATGTCAAAACACATTCACTTTGATCATCAATAGATAAAGTGGATGTTGTTTTGATTCGGTCTATTTCTGTTGCTGCTTTTATCCTGTGTGGACACAGCGATGCTGGTCAAAAATGCTCAACGATACAGGGGGTTTCAGCAATCCGGCTGCACACCCATTGGGGGTCCATGAGTGTTGTCATGGTAACATGCAGTGTGGTTGGCATGAGGCCCTAAAGCCTCACCTCCTTAGATTTATTTCTCAATAACTTCTCCTTTTTATTTTGACTGATTTGACTTTGTGGGATGTTTTTGTTTATTTGTATAATCACCTGACTATTTTTATTTTTATTTTCTGTCCACAGATGGAGCAGGTGTCAGACGATGAGTTGGACCATGGAGCGGAGGAGGACAGTGATAAGGAGGACCAGGATTTGGACAAGATGTTTGGTGCCTGGTTGGGGGAGCTGGACAAGCTTACGCAGGTTAACATGCACGGACACACACACACACACACACACACACACATATTGATGATAATAATGGTGGCGATTTGCCATAATATGGGATCAAACAGGTAGCGGATCATGGAGAATAGATAGAGCTGTTACCATAGCAACCCCAACACTGATACTCATTCTGTCTCCAGTTATTGTATCCTAGCAACACCCTTCCCACCAGTTCAGAGCGAGTGTCTAAGTGAGCGAGTGAATGTGTGTGCGTGCGTGCCTTGTGCGTACTTCTCAACGCCGCGGATCCTGCCTTCATAACTTTTTATATTTCTGAATTTCTTCTTCTTATCTTTTTTCCTCCTTTTATCTCTTCCTTCCATTTATTTGGTGGCCTGAGTAAATTAGTATTCCTCATTGTGCCCTTTATTAGTTTTAAGATTTATCATATTTTGTGAGATGAACTTGTTGCTGCATATATTCAGTGGTTGGACTGTAGTGCGTTGACGATGTGCATGTGTTCACCAACTGTTTCCTGTGTGTTTGTTCCTCTGCAGAGTCTGGATGATGGCAGGCCACAGAAAGCACTGCAGAAGCCTCCTCTCAGACAAGAGACAAACATGGCCAACTTTTCCTACAGATTCTCTATGTACAACATTAACGGTGAGGCTTGACTTTGAGCTAATCTGAAGACAATTTGTTCTACCTCCTGCTCTCTGCTCATAATTCTGTTTCCTTCATACTTTACTCTGTGCAGAGGCCTTGAACCAGGGAGAGACAGTTGACCTGGACGCCCTCATGGCGGACCTCTGCTCCATTGAGCAGGAGCTCAGTACAATTTCCAGACCAAATTCCACATCTCGGGGACAGAGCAAAGGCCAACAGAGGGCGCCTGGACGCAGTGCAAGCACGAAGCACACAGGCACCGGTGGAGGAGGGAGCAGCGGAGGTAGTTTTGCTGCGTTAATAATTCTGCTTCTACACAATCTCTGAAGTAATTCGACTGGAATTGAAATGTTTTGCAATTTTTTGTTGAAAATTCATCACCATCAAAGACTATATGATTTTTTTTCCTGCCTTTAGGAGTTATTCACAACAATTTATCCTGATTTATGAAAGACTCTGGCGTTGATTTTTTTTTTTTTTCACTACTAGGAAGCACGAGTAGCAGCACCCGAGCCTCCCCTGCCAACACAGTAAGAGGCAACAGCCGCCCCGCAGCCTCAAACATCTCCCTGGACGACATCACCTCTCAGCTGGAGAAGGCGTCCTTGAGCATGGACGAGGCTGCTCGGCAAACCTCCTCATCTTCCTCCTCGTCTTCATCCTCTTCATTCTCGTCCACCACGCTCCGCCGGCCCTCATCGGGGCCCTCTGGCGGTGGGCAACACCGCAGGACGGGATCCATGGGGGGCGT